CCATGAAGGCCTGATTCACACAGTCCCCTCTGAACGGTTGATGTTGAGATGTATCTGTGACTTGAACTCTGTGAAGCATTTATTTGGGCTGCAATTTCTGAGGCTGGTAACTCTAATGAACTTATCCTCTTCAGCAGATGTAACTATGGGTCTTCCATTCCTGTGGCGGTCCTCATGAAAGCCAGTTTCATCATAGCTCTTGTGGTCTTTGTGACTGCACTTGAAGCAACTTTCAAAGTTCTTGAAATGTTGCGTAATGACTGTCCTTCATGTTTTAAAGTAATGATGGACTGTCATTTCTCTTTGCTTATTTTAGCTTTTCTTGCCATAATATAGACTTGGTCTTTTACCAAATAGGGCTATCTTCTGTATAGGGCTATCTACCTTGTCACAACACAACTGATTGGCTCAAATGCATTAAGAAGGAAAGAAATTCCACAAATTAACTTTTAACAAGGCACACTTGTTAATTGAAATGTATTCCAGGTGACTACCTCATGAAGCTGGATGAGAGAATGCCAAGCGTGTGCAAAGCTGTCATCAAGGCAAACGGTGGCTATTTGAAGAATCTCAAATATAAAATATATTTTGATTCGTTTAACACTTTTTTGGTTACTACATTTTATTTCATAGTTTTGATGTCTTCACTATTATTCTACAATGTAGAAAATAGTAAAAATAAATGACAGGTAGTGTATATATATTTATACTCCGGACTCCGACATTAATTGTCCTAATATTTATAGATTTCTTAATTCCATTATTTTACTTTTAGATCTGTGTGTTTTGTTGTGAATTGTTAGATATCACTGCATTGCTGGAGCTAGGAACACAAGCATTTCAATACACCCGCAATAACATCTGCTAAATATGTGTATGTGACCAATAACATTTTATTTGACTTACAAGAGTTGGAAAGCATCATTCTAAGAAATTCAGCAACTTTTGGAGGACAGTTGATAAAGATCTTCTTTACTGGTAAAAGTAATAATAAAGAAGCACTTTTATCAACTTCCACTGTCCTCCCAAGAGTTGCTGAATTTCCTATTCCTGCTTTAGACACCAGGTAAGGCAGAGAGTAAATACACAACATGTTAACACTGGTACCACCATTCACTGGCCATGTCATGTACAGATCAGTCTACTGACATCAACTAACTGGAAGTGTGTCCAGTGAGAAACAGATGACATGCCATAGAATGTTTGCATCACAACCAAGTCTGTGGCCCTGAGAGACCCTGACTGGTTTGAACACAACACTGGGTGCTGTAGGCTGTTGCTGGCATCATTACATGTTGGTTGATTAGTGCTGTTGGCATGGTTACAGGGTGGTTGATTGGTATGGTTACAGGTGGTTGACTAGTACTACTAATATGGAGTTTAAATGGAAGGTCACAGATCACTTCCTAAAACCAGGGGTGGTAAAACCGCCCCACCTCTCGATCTCTCTCGGTCACTCACTCTCCCTCTCTTTCAGCTGTTTCCCCTCGTGCGGCCTGTCGGTGGACGCGTGTGACCCAGTGTGCGCACTGACAGCTGCGTCCAGGTGTCACCGATGGTGCCACCTTTTATGTGCACAGGGCATGGATTACCATATACAAAGTTGACTATAAACAATCTACCGGTCACCCTCCATTATACTATTATTATGACCAAACGACAACTGAAACGTGTCAAGGCCAAATTTGTGATGTATATAATTAGCGCCAAACACAAGTGTCAACATATCAACTGGCTACACAAAAGGCATGCACATTAATAGGTTAACAAATTAAAGACAATGTAAAAGAAGAATGAAAAAGAATGGCGGGAAAAACAAATATACAAGAGAAGTCTTGTGCCATGTGCGTAAAGTGAAATTCCTCTTCCCACAGACACACAAAAGATCAGCAACATTTCTGAACATGCACAAAAAAGAATATGGTGGAAATTACTTACTTCAGACGCTAATCCCTGAAATAATGATATCTATGGCAAATGGTTTATTTCCCTTTTTGTGAAAAAAAGCGGGACTGTTTGTCTGTTGCGAAAACGTTACAGTCAGTCAGTCAGTCACTGTGGGTCTTGTGAAACTTCCCTTTACATTCACTTAGTTCCTCGTCACATCTGTATGGCTTTAAACCCCTCCTCTCGCCCTCTCCTTCCTACGGTTTATATAAATGGAGCCCCCACCCACACACACACACACACACACACACACACACACACGTCGCAACGAGTTTACCATTTATAATGCACGCAGCACGCCCAGTTGTCAAAGTGGTATTTTACAGCTGTCAAATATTGAAACCCTGCTCCACTGCGCCACCTTGCGGCGAATATTTTAAAAACACATTAATAGCATAATACGGAGACGAGTAAAAAATAAAAAATAAATCAGGCCCCAGGCCATAACCAGGATCCAGAGTTTTTCCTGGTGACGTTACATCATCCCATACTCGCTTTGATTATTTGAATCAGCCGTGTAGTGCTAGGGCAAAAATACAAAAACGTGCACCAACTGTCAAATTAGAAACCACCGAAACATTTAAATTAACAATTTTATTGTTGTTTTCATCCCATAAAGCATTTCCCATTTTCCATAAATGAAATAGCAGTAGTGTGACAGACAGCAATGGTAGGACTTACAATAATTATAAACAAAATACATTCCCACCTTAATTCAGTCTCAAAAAAGAAATCAGAAAAAAAACATTTAAAAAAGTTCCAATAACTCCTCAATGAATCTGTTTATTTCTTTGAAGTCTTTAATTTTTTTATAATTATTTTGCTTAATGTTTCAGATGATGACAGAGAAGACAGAGAGCACTCTGTCAGAGCGCGAGATGGAAAGAAAAGAGACCTCTTCTCTCAGCATCTCTCCCTCATCCCACTCTTTCTTTTGTAAATCCACCCTGTCTGACTGCCCCTCTTCTCCTCCCTAATCCCCCTTTTCCACTCCTCTCATTCTTACACCTATTAAATGCTTTTACTACATTCAGAAAATACCACCCCCTACTTCTTTACAGGCACAGTAGGGGTACTACAGATGCCACCACGACAATTAATTAATCCAAATTACTGTAATAGTTATATCGATCATAATAATAACAAAAAACAATTTTGCAAATCTGGGGAAAAAAAGTAAGCAAATTTGGTGTGTTGTAAATAAAAGACAAAACATGTGTCTTTTAAACAAACCCACTACTACAGGGGAAGTGGTATTGGTGTCCACATGAGCAGACTACACTACTTTGTACCTTTAGTTCATGGTGTGATGTCACAGTGGCTGTTAAACTATCAAAACACATGGCCAACTAGTAGATTGACTAGTAGAATGGTAGAGTAGCCTAGCTAAAATATGATGCAATTTCTCAGCCTGACAACAATGAGTCATCACGGTTACACAATTCAATACCAGAGATGTTGGAGCCTTCTGGAAAGGCAAGTATATTGCTTCTAGGCCTACGTGAGGATTGTGTCATCATAACTTTAAGGACGCAGTTCCAAGCCGAAATCGTGTGTAGGACATCAGAACGAATCTGGTCACAAAAAAAGATGCCAAGCCTGCACCTAAAATCCATTACTACCCAACCCTGACAGTTCTAGTAAAGACCAACATAGTCAGCATGTTTGAGGGGGATGAGTTTGAGCAAGGCAACGCACAGAATCTCTAATCTTGATCACATAATGAGTAGTTATTTAGAAAGCAAGGTGATTTGGAGATCAGTGATTCTGAGCAGTCCAACTGCTACGTACCAGTAGTGATGATAAGGAGACCAAGGGTATGATGTCATAAAGAGTAGCCAACCGTCTTTATCAGAACCATACATGGAGGCAACATCCATTCTATATGCAAAGAAGTTAAAACATAGAAAAATATCCGACAGAAATTACCAAAAAAAGAAAAGAAAACACGTAATTCAGTGTCGTGATGTATTAATAAATATGAATAGTGCAGTGAAAACGAACGCAAAATCTTTAACTTTTCAAAATTCAGCTTCGCCAGTCCAAAACCCTAAGAAATACACATTAAATAAGTACTCTGCTGTCCTCTTCTCTAGACACAGTTTGATGACATCTAAATTAAATCAAATTTGAATTGATTATTGATTGATTTCTGAAGCTGGCTGGAGTGTCGGTGTGTGGCCAGTCTGTGACTGATGCTGGAAGGTTCTTTAGCTCTTTCGCTCTCCCTTCCTCTCTCTTCATCCAGTCATCCCTCCATTCCCTAGACTAAAGAAGCTTCTTTCTCTCTACCTTCCCACCTGTCACCTTACAGGTAGAGAAACTGGAATGCAATAAATAAACTACCACCTTATGTTAGAAATCATCTATAGACAGTACTTTCCCTTTCAAAATGGAATAAATATGCAGGAGAGAGTTCAAGACACAAGCAACAGCCATACTCAATGAAATCCGCTAAACAGCTTTCCAGGGAGAAGTTAAATTGAAAAAATAACACTCATTCAGAGTGGCCAGAAATATTGTTTGAATCAACTACAAAGTTGTATTTCTTTTCTGGTTTGTCTCACATTGTAAAAATTATGTTGTCAAGGAGCTAAGTGAATCCAAAAGTGCGTTCTTTCTGCAGAAAAGGAGTGGTATTTTCAAGACTTATTCGGTAACTTGCTAAACCAGGCTTGATTGAATAGGACCTTGAGTTTTGTCAAATCCCTCACTTTTAAACAGAAACCGGTCAGGGCCCGTATTCAAAAAGTCGGAGTGCTGAGCTAGGATGTATCAGCTCTCTCCCCTTCACTTCCTTTGTCTCCCCCCCCCCCCCCTCGTCTCAGATTGTTCACCTTTCATCCCTCCATCCCTGGCTTTTTATTTTTCGTCTTTCCTTGCACTCCATCTTCACCTCCATTTCTCCATCCCTGGCTTTTTATTTTTCGTCTTTCCCTGCACTCCATCTTCACCTCCATTTCTCCTCAACTTGCTCCCCTATTTATTTGATAGTTCCTTCCCTTTCATTCATAACCCAAACCCCTCCCTCCCTTCCCCTTTTCCCCCCTTCACTCATAGAACATGTTAGTAATATCAGAGTCCAGGCTGTAGATCCAGACCAATAGCGGGAATGACATTAAAACGAACGACCAGGACACGCCCTTAAACGCCCTGCTCACGGCGGCCGTCACGCCCCCTGACCCTTGACCCCTCCTCCGGCGCTCCCGCTCCTCCTCCTGGCGCTCCACGTCGGTACCCGGCTCGATCCAGTTCCGGGCCAGGAACTTGAGGGCCTCGTCCATGAAGATGACGGGCAGGGACATCTTGAGGACCACAACCCACTGCGGCCACGACAGGGGCCGGATCTGAAACACCATCTGGAGGGGAGAGAAGGAGAGGAGGGGTGGTTAGACAATGAGATATCTGAGAGCATAATGTAATGTAACACACACACACACACTTTCCTGTGCAGCAGTGTTAATTTCGGTACTTTCTTCGATTTAGTGTAGTCTTAGTCATTTTGACTAAAATATCATTAAGTCCCATTTTTGTCATTTAAATAATGACTTAGTCTAGTTATTGTCAAAATGATGAAAACAGTGGGCCATTTTGGTCAACTAAATGCCCTTTCATTTTAGTCACATCACATTTGTGTTGCCTCATTAACCTATAATAACATTAAACATAAATCACTGACTTCCATGTGCACAAACATGCATAACCTTGTCCTACCAACATATTTTTCTGCATAACATCCTATTCTTCCCTAAAGCAGAAATATGACAAACATACAGTAAATAAGAATAATATTCTATATTATAATTATCTGTACATTTCTAATTCAGCCTACATAGATATTGCACATTACATACAAAACAAACACAAGAGCAGACAACCAGAGACTGTGTGAGTGAGTGTGAGAGAGAGAGAGAGAAGCACCATCACCAGATGGTGCCGCAAAGTAGTATGGTTGCACCTCCATCACTCGGTTGCGTCATTGCCATTGATAACAACGCTCCAGAGACGCCACATTGATGTCCAAAAGTAGAATGGGAGCTAATGACGGTTTCGCCCAGTGATGTGGTCGAGTCACTAAACCTCGAGTCAGAATCAATTCCCAAGTCCCCTGTGCTCAAGTCCGAGTAACGAGTCCCTATGGCTGAAGTCCGAGTCCGTGTTAGCCAGTCAGATATAGCGTAGTGGGATGCGGGGGGATTTTAGTCAATAAGTTGTTTGCCATCCCGTTTCCTTTCTTCCTGTGCCACCAAATGTTTGCATTTAGGGTATTGGTAATGTTACCAGGTCCACGTTCAGTTGAAAAACGTTCTTGAACGTTGCAGATAGAAATCCCATGAATAGAGCCAACGTTATTCCTTATTCAACATGTCAGAGAGGCATGTTTGTTCTGCATAGCATATTCTGAACAGTCCAAAACTTTGCGTCCCGCTGAACACGCCCCCAGGTTGTTAGCTATAGCTAGCTAATGAGGTAACATGACTGAACAAGGTGTAGCCTAAACAAATGGTTAACGGTACGGTCTGCAAGAAGCCTAGTGTTAGTACGGCCCACGATATGCTTTCTGAATGTAAAATGCGGCCTACCAATGCACGACAGGAAGAAAAAAAACGTAGCGGCGGAATTATGGTTCATGTCTTTTGAACGGTAGCCTAAGGGCTAAGAATCAAGCCATTCTCTGAGGAAAAGGAGACTTGGCTACAGAACCTGTATGTGAAATGCAGTGGAAAAAGTGGGAGGGTTGAGTGAGACTACAAAAAATTAAAAGAGCCTACTTTTCTATAGGGAGAGAAAAACATAGCTAAACTGTTGTTTTACTATTAAACTCAATTCTGCTATTGTTTTTAATTTTGTAAAGCAGCTTTTGTTTCATTACCAGGCAAAGGGTAGCTAACTAGAAGGCTGGTGGTGACTGGTTAGCTACGGGGAAGCAAGAGAGTCGCCAGGGCGATGTGAATAATTGGAGGCGGAACCTGAGTGGCGTCTGTCTGCCCACACTCATCGCTTGCTCCCCCGCAGCTCACCAGATGATGTAGGCTGTGTTTGCTGGGTGTGACGTGTCCTTCCCACTGCTGAACAGAACTGCTCTGCACATCTTTGCTGCTAATATTAAATTGTGCTCGTCACAGAAAAGCTCTCAATCTCTCCCAAAATTCTTGTCCAGTCCACTTAGAAGTCAGATTTTAGTTGACAAAATCATGCCAGATGAACACACACACACACACACACACAGTGACTTACAGGCAGGGGGTCAACGTAGAGGATGAGGAAGTGGAGTGCCATGGAGAGACAGATCGCTCCCACCAGCCAGGGGTTGGACCATGGAGGCATCTTCAGCAGGGACTGGTTTTCTGACAGACTGAGGACGAGGACACACAGCGGAGCTCAGAAATGGACCAGTACAAACTCAAAAGATGCCAGTAAAATATTGATACTAACGCAACAGAACTCGGGAATATAAATACAAAGTCAAAAGATGTCAGTAAAATATCCATACTTATACCAAATAATCTCCGATATTTTTTTATTTTTTTTGTCATTTAGCAGACGCTCTTATCCAGAGCGACTTACAGGAGCAATTAGGGTTAAGAGCCTTGCTCAAGGGCACATCGACAGATTTTTCACCTAGTCGGCTCGGGGATTAGAACCTGCGACCTTTCGGTTACTAGCATCAGTCATAGAGATTATTATCTATGACATGACACAGAACAGGTTTAGTTCGCATATGATAACATTTCTTTTTATTAGTCACAGTACATTCTACATATATGTATATCGACTGTACATTTCATTCAGTTCTATTGCAATTGTTTTCCACCTTTGCTCTTTTCAATCATCAGACAAAGTTTATAAGTCGACAATGAAACACATTGTTTATGATCATGATATGCATGATTGTGCATGTAATGCTTTCATTATAAAGGTGCATTTTTATGGTGAAAATGATCTTCCCCAAACTTGAAACTCACGAGCAGTCTATGCATGCCAGTTAGGCTCTACACTGGTTGTAAAGTGGATTAATGTGCTTAATTTTAAGAAGTTATTTGGCCACTTTAGTTGTGATACAAACTTTATCAAAGAAATGTAATATAGGCCTATGGGCTAGGCTACATGAGGTGTGCGTCTATGATTTAAAACAGTCGCAAAAAAAAGGCATGCGCTTTTTCTTGACTTATTGCACACAAGCTGGGAATCATTCACAAGTGATAATATATAATTTACAAGTGATAGGCTAATATTGTCACCCATCTGACTTTTCTTGATTTAATCTTGTCTTTACATATACTAAATAATATATATATATACACGTGTGAAATTTGTTTTGATTGATAATGGACCATTATCATGCACCCGTCTCAAAAACAGGGGCAGGGGGAAAAAATACATGTCATCTATGCACTTAAATAGCGAATGGAGGACGCTTTTCTCGTGATTCATTTTCTTGCCAGCCAGGTAGGCTATACTCCTGTTGTAAAGAGAAGCAATGTGCTTAATATTAGGAAAGTTGAGAAATAAATATAGTAGGCCTAGCCTATAGAAGGCCATTAAAACTATTTTCTCACGCAATTGCATAGCCTATAGAAATGTTGCATAGCCTATAGAAATGTTGCATAGCCTATAGAAATGTTGCATAGCCTATAGAAATGTTGCGCAACATGAGCTCTCATTAAGTGTTTGATTAGATTTTCGATTATATTTGCATTGTTGTCAGAGTGATTGGAGGGACACTAGAGTGCTGAGTACCAGGCAGTTAGCAAGTTTGGTAGGCTACTAATGACCATCAGCAGCATCAGAGCTCGGAGAAGCCTAATTACTGTGACTAAACGGTCACATAGAATTTGACTGTAGTCATCACTTGTGACCGCCGGTGAGGCAGTAATACGGTCACCGTAACAGCCCTAACCATGGAAGTTGTAGTTTTAGTAGCATACCTGTTGAGGGCGTTGCACATCTCTATGGTAACGAGCACAGACAGGGCCATGGTCATGGGGTAGGGCGACTCGAACACCGAGCACTGCACCCCCGCAAACTCCCCGTGGCCTTCACTGCACTGGAGATAGTGGGACTGAGCAGAGGAGAGAACAGAGAGAGAGATATTGGGAGGGCGAGAGAGTGTGAGGGGGGTAGAGACAGAGAGAGGGGGGGGGGTAGAGGGTTAAACACAGCCAAACCATAAAAGTATTATCTGTAGCTACAAAAATAATTTACCTATTCATTTTTCTCTATTATCATTGCATTTCTCTTATAACCATCTCACAACCCAGCTAAACTGGAGAAGAGGGACGAGGAGGTCAGGATGAGTGAAAGAAGAGGGGGATGGAGTGAGAAGAGAAGGATATGGAGGTTGGAGGTTAGATGCGGTAAAGTAAGAGAAGTGAGAGAAGAGAAGAGTGTGTTCTAACCAGTTGGTAGAAGGAGAGTTTGGGTCCGTCGTGTGCTGCCATGAACCACCAGGCTGCAGCTCCTACTGTGGCTGCGCCCACGTAGCCTGAGAGAGAGGTCAAAGGTTAGATGGATGTGTATATTCTAGAATCTCAGCCGATATTGTGATGCAAATCAATCAATCGTCCACAAATGTTATTTGTATAAATCCTTTTTTCAAATACATTTGTCACAAAGTGCATGAGGCTACGTTCTAAGTTCTAAATACAAGAACCCTGTCTGTTCATAATCTATAGACTCACGATGCAGTCTCTGCCATAGATATAGATCGAGATATACTAGACTTACTCACATCCGACGATGAGGCATCTGCAATAGACATAGAAACAGATAATGTAGAAACACTCACATCCGACGATGAGGTATCTGCAGAAGAGCCATCCGGAGATGAGTGGCTCCTTGGGGGAGCGCGGGGGGCGGGACATGATGTCCAGGTCGGGGGGGTTGAAGCCCAGGGCGGTGGCCGGGAAGCCGTCCGTCACCAGGTTGACCCACAGCAACTGGACCGGGATCAGGGCCTCGGGCATGCCCAGAGCAGCAGTCATGAAAATACTGGAGGGGAGAGAAGGTTAGGATGGTAAGGTGGGGGGAGAGAGAGCAGAAAGGGGGTGAGAGTGAGGGAGGGATAAAACAATAATTATTCAGAAATCCTCTCTTTTACTGTTCCAGACTACTATTAGCCCTCAAGTTAATCCCTTCATCCATCTCTCCTTTTTTACATTTTCCTTCTCTCTATTGTCACCTGACCTAGAGTACTCCTCTCCTAAATGTGCACCTCCGTTCTGTTATCCTTCCCCTTTATTTATAACCGTAACTCCACCACCCTCTCTCCCTCCCTCGTTTTCATCCCCCTCTCCATACAGCCTCTCCTATGATACACCTATGAAGTATCCTATACACTGTTTCATGTTGTTATAGATGGCTCTGCCCTCTCTCCTCCAATCCCTCCTTCTCTCTCCTCCATTCCCTCCCTCTCGTCCCCCGTCCCCCTCTCCTCACCAGACAACCTCTCCTATGTTGGAGGAGATGAGGTATCGTATGAACTGTTTCATGTTGTTGTAGATGGCTCTGCCCTCTTCTACAGCCGCTACGATGGTAGAGAAGTTATCATCAGCTAGGATCATCTCTGAAGCGGACTTGGCTACAGCCGTGCCTGAACCCATGGCGATCCCGATCTCTGCCTTCTTCAGGGCTGGTGCGTCGTTCACTCCATCACCAGTCTGGGGGAGAGAGGGAGGGAGAGAGGGAGAGGGGGAAGGAGGAATGGGAGGGAGCAAGAACAGGCGGCGAGTCAAAAGAGGGAGGAAACACAATGCAAACATGCTTTCTCAACACAGAGGAAGAATGTTAACGATGACAACAGTTCTGTCACTTGATTGAACAGGTATTTTTTTGTGTCACAGGGTAGAGCACTAGACAGAGACAACTGCTGCCAACAGAGACAGATACACACACACACCCTTTCACCCCTCACCCACCCCCTCACCATGGCTGTGATGTCGTCGAGGCTCTGTAGGTACTCCACGATGCGGCTCTTGTGTGTGGGTTCCACGCGGGCGAAGCAGCGTCCGGTACGACAGGCCTGCCTCTGGAGGTGGGGGGGCAGCTCGTCAAACTCCCTCCCCGTCAGGCCCCCTGAGAACGGGTCGTCCCTGCCCGCCTCCTCCTCCTCCTCTGTGATGATGCCCACGCGACGACAGATGGACATGGCCGTGCCCTTGTTGTCACCTGGGGGACGTGAGGTTAGATGGAGAGATGACACCCAGGAGGCAAAACTGTTTGAAATCGCGTCATTGCGGCCTGGGCCGATACCAGTATCACAATACTCGTTAGTATCGTGGCAAGTAAACAAAACACGAAGCAAATTTAATTTATTTAGGAAAATAGACCTAATGTTGGAAACAAACATCATTACGTTGTCATCCAGAGTCACATTTATTCATTTTCCAAGCTATAGCACACAATATTTTACATGCAGCAGGTTTTTAAAGGACCAAAGAGTTTGGTCTAAGCAGTGTTTTAATTTTTGCCATGTAAAAAAATATTGCGATACTGGTATCGTCCCGGCCTTACACGTTATAATAGCTTTTTAAGGTAGATGAGTGTGTTGAGACTTTATTGAATCCCCTTGGATAATGTGTCTTGAGTCTCCCCATCCAACAAACATTCATCACAACACAACAAACAACAGAGGGAGTGTGTTTAAGGCGTGTCATACCTGTGATCATGATGACGCGGATGCCAGCCTGCCGACACATGCGGACCGCACCAAGTACTTCCTTCCTGGGGGGGTCCAGCATCCCCACGCAGCCGACGAAGGTCAGGTCCGACTGGAGGGGGGGGAGAGGAGGTTGTTGTTTCTTTAACAGTAATCAAATTAAACTGTATTTGAAGTGCCTTTAAAAACCGCAACACACTTTACAGTAAAAATAATAATAATAAATAAGAGATAAATAGGCAAGCAAAATAATAATAATAAAAGTGCATTACACAAAGGATACCTCAAATTAAATCATCCTAAAATCCCTCACCTCGTAGTCGGCGAAGGTGGCTGAGTTCTCCAGGTTGAGGGAGCGTATCTCGGGGGGCGAGTCCCGGGTTGCCATGGCGAGGCATCGGAGGGTGTCCCGCCCCGTGGCCCACTCCCTGACGATCCCCTGGAGCTGCTCCCGTCCCGCCGGCGTCATGGGCACCCGCGCACCCCCGTTCACCCGGATCCAACGGCAGCGCTCCAGCACGCTCTCCGGAGCTCCCTGGGAGAGAGACGAGAAGTTAATACAAAGTGAGGAGATGGCGGAGAGAGCGGGCAAGAGAAAGAGCTCAGAAGAAAGGAAGAAAAACAGAAACAGCAAGAAAGAGCAGAGAGGGGAAGGGGGGAAGTGGATAAGTAGGAGTGATAGAGAGAGAGCTGACCTTGACAAACATCTTGGCCCCGGCGGCAGAGCGGCTGAGCTTGTTGGGAGAACAGAACACTGACATGGACTTCCTGTCACGGGAGAACTCCAACGTCAATTCCTTCCTCATCAACTGTTTTATCACCTGATGGAGGGAGGGAGGGAGAGAGGAGATTTATCATTCAATCATTCTGCTAGGAAGGAAATTAGGTCAGCACGTCTCAATGGTACACACACAGATTTCTTTGATCACACACACACACTCACCGAGCAGCAGGCAGTAGCTCTCTCAACAGCGGACAGTCCTCGGAGGTCTGTGTCGAACACGTTCATCTTCTCCACCAGACAGCACAGGGCGGTCTCCGTAGCCTCGCCCACCTTCTCATACACACCCTTAGACTGGGGGACACACACACACACACAGGTTAAGGGTCAACAACAATGATATTATTTGAATTTATTATTTCAAACAGATGCTACTGGACTGGAACAAAAGTAGCTCTCCAAGATAAGAATTAAGAAGTGTCTGTCCATTTGTGTGTAGCATGGTGTGGAGTGCCGTGGTTATGGTGTGGAGTGCCGTGGTTATGGTGTGGAGTGCCGTGGTTCTGGTGTGGAGTGCCGTGGTTCTGGTGTGGAGTGCCGTGGTTATGGCGTGGAGTGCCGTGGTTATGGCGTGGAGTGCCGTGGTTATGGCGTGGAGTGCCGTGGTTATGGCGTGGAGTGCCGTGGTTATGGCGTGGAGTGCCGTGGTTATGGCGTGGAGTGCCGTGGTTATGGCGTGGAGTGCCGTGGTTATGGCGTGGAGTGCCGTGGTTATGGCGTGTAGTGCCGTGGTTATGGCGTGTAGTGCCGTGGTTATGGCGTGTAGTGCCGTGGTTACGGTGTGTAGTGCCGTGGCTACAGTAAGACTAATTTACATTGGTGTGTAGTGCCGTGTGCAAAGTAGGCTGGAGCTGTTCTCACCTCATTGTAGTCCAGAGAGGAGTCGTTACACAGAGCACAGATAGAGGCCATCTCCACCAGGCCCTCATACTGACTACACTTCACTACTGTCTCATCCTTATACCTGAGGGAGAGAGAGAAGGAGAAAGGAAATAAATAGAGGGAGAGAAATAGGGAGGAAAGGGGGAGAGAGAGAGAAGGGAAAGGAGGAGATGAGAGAGAAGGGTGGATATGGAAGACGACAGGGAGAGAGATAAGGAAAGGGGAAAGATGGCGTGAGAGAAGGGGAGAGAAGTATGGGATAATAGAATGCGGGGGAGACGAGACCAGAGAAAGAAGTAGAGGAGGGGAACCAAATATTAGACAAAGAAACAACATTTCTCAGCATCTTAAAAGGCCCAGTGCAATCAGAAATGTGATTTGTCTGTGTTAATACTGTGAAAATGATGATAACGCCCTTTTAGTGTAAGAGCTGTTTGAAAAGACCGCCTGAAATTTCAGCCTGTTTTGGCGGGATGGAGTTAGGGCCTGCCTGGTGACATCACCAGGTGGTAAATTAGTTAATAGACCAATAAGAAAGAGTTTCAAACCCCTCTGCCAATAATAGCTAGTTTTCCCCTCCCCACTCAAACCACTCACTCCCAGACAGTCCTAGCAAAATTGGGGTCATTCGTCATGACATCTAGAGCTTTCAAGACAACTGGGAATGGCGAAAAAAAATTCAGGTCGGAATGTCGGCGCTCTAGAAAGATGCCAGAGTTTCCGACATAATAATAATAATAATAATAATAATAATAATAATAAGCCAATTAGCAGACGCTTTTATCCAAAGCGACTTACAGTCATGTGTGCATACATTTTTACGTATGGGTGGTCCCGGGGATAGAACCCACTACCCTGGCGTTACAAGCGCCATCCTCTACCAATTGAGCTACATTTTTTTTCCTGAGTTCCCAGTTGTCTTGAACGGACTGATGTCGGAAGTCGGATATTTCCAAGTTCCCAGTTGTTTTGAACGTGGCAATCATCAGTTAAAGGTTAAAGGCACTCACACTTCCCCTTCTGGGGCGTAAGTAGATCCGGTCACCGAAAACTCACTCAGGGCGCATCGCTCCCCTGACACACTGTCCACAACAAATATCTACACATACACACATGCGGATACAGACAGAAGGGGTTAGAAAATACACACTCATTGTCACAATCAGTAAGGTTAGGTCAGCATCAGGCTGAGTGTCTGTCAATCAACATGCCAAACCATTCCACTTTCATGTCAGCTCCAGTGAACCCAAGTGGTTACTCTTCCCCTATCTCATTTTCCCTTCTCTCTCTCACCCGGTGGACAGACATCTGATTGGTGGTGAGGGTGCCAGTCTTGTCGGAGCAGATGACGGAGGTGCAGCCCAAGGTCTCCACAGAGGGCAGACTGCGAACGATGGCATTCTTCCGGGCCATGCGTCTGGTCCCCAGGGCCAGGCAGGTGGTGATCACAGCGGGTAGGCCTGCATGGGGGGGGGGGGGCAAGATTGGATAAGGTGAAGGGACCGTTAGAGTGGGGTTAAATATATGGTTCCATGATAGTTCTTCCGAGTTATGTGACAAAAGTATACTGGCTGATCAATCTATTTATCGAGTTAAGAGTCTACATGGACACAGAGAGGAGCTGTTGAGAGAGAATTCATTTTAGTTTCATATGGAATTTAGATTGCTCAGAATAGAATGGAATTGACTCATGCTCCACTTTGTGTGTCACACACACGAAGAGAAGAGAAAGAGGTCGTTGGTCCCACCACGTACCCTCAGGGATGGCAGCTACAGCCAGTGCCACAGCGATCTTAAAGTAGTAGACGGCCCCTCTGAGCCAGCTGCCACCGTGGACCGGGTCATTGAAATGGCCTACATTGATACCCCACACTGCCACACAGATCACTGTTATCACCTGGAGGGAGGGAGGGAAAGAGAGAGCCTGTTATCACAACACAGCTGAAATAAAAGGAATGAGGGAAAGAAAGAGAAGGAAAGTCCCTAGTACCTTGGACAGCTGTTCTCCAAACTGGTCTAGTTTCTGCTGCAGCGGTGTTCTCTCTGGGTCTGTAGCAGCCATCTCGTCACGAATCTTCCCTATCTCAGTCTGCACCCCTGTAGCTACCACCACACCTATAGCCCTGCCCGCCGCAATGTTGGTGCCCTGGAAGAACAATGATACAAAGCCCTGTGTTGGTTTACAAAGCCCTGTGTTGGTTTACAAAGCCCTGTGTTGGTTTACAAAGCCCTGTGTTGGTTTACAAAGACCTGTGTTGGTACACTCTACTAACTACTACATGAGTTTGACCTGTAAAGCAACATACATTGGCATTGTGCTCACAGCTCATCTCCAAAACAAAGTCTTGGCAATAACATAAAAAAAGAATGTATGTATTACCCAGTCAGCACAAGATCAGAAAGACGTATTTTCAACATCTTTTCAACCAAAGATACATACTGTATTTTCAACGTTTAAAACACATTTAACCAAAAATAGTATTTTCAACCAACCAACGTATTTTCAACATATTGTGCTCATAGGGTAGATAAATCATGAATTGTGATTTGACTATGTAGGTGGCGTGGGGATCAACGACATCCATCTCACACATACGGTATCTTTTAGTGATATACAGGACACAACAGTTTCAGTACGTGAGTGTAGCTCAAGTACCAACACAGCCCTTGATGATCCAGTTCAATTGCGCCACCATCACTATATTAACCTGGAAGACTGAGTGGTCTAGACGCTCTAACCTGGCTCTTTAGAACTGTATTAAGAGCTGTTTAGTAGATTACATCACACAGTATATTATGTGTTTGTGTGTTTCCTGTGCAAACAATGCGAGTGATGTTTTATTCAACAAACAGTTGAGTCACACCTTCGACACTCACATCAAAGCATCACAGTGCACACACACACACACGTCCCTGTGTTCTGGTTCCTCTCTCACACCGTATCTCCCATTAGATCAATAAACTACACACACTCGCTCTCCCACACTTACACAAACGTACACACGCATAAAAACAAAATGTGCACCCTTTGGCTTGAGGCCTTACCCCCACGTGCAGTGCTGGTCTAATCAGATAATGACCCCCTAAAAACACACCCCCCTCCCCCCACACACACTGTATACACACATATATACTCCCCTCCTCACCACTTACAGAGAACAGCATGTTTTTCTTGTCCTGGTTGACGGCTCGCGGGTCAGGCACTGGGTCTGTGTGTTTGATCACGGACACCGACTCCCCCGTTAGGATGGACTGGTCCACTCGCAGTGTGGTGGAGCGGATGGAGGTCAGACGGATGTCTGCTGGGACTTTATCACCCACTGGGGGAAAACAGGGCGGAACGGGGGAGGTGATGGTTTGTCAAGTCAAGTCTTACATGGCAGAGGATATATACGACATAGCCAAAAGGATGTGGACACCCCTTCAAATTAGTGGATTCGGCCATTTCAGCCACACCCATTGATGACAGGTGTATAAAATCGAGCACACAGCCATGCAATTTCCATAGACAAACATTGGCAGTAGAATGGCCCATACTGAAGAGCTCAGTGACTTTCAGTGTGGCACCGTCATAGGATGCAAATTTCTGCCCTGCTAGAGCTGCCCCGGTCAACTGTAAGTGCTGTTATTGCGAAGTAGAAACTTCTAGGAGCAACAATGGCTTAGCCGCGAAGTGGTAGGCCACACAAGCTCACAGAACGGGACCGCCGAGTGATGAAGCGCGTAGAGTGTAAAAATCGTATGTCCTCTGTTGCAACACTCACTACCGAGCTCCAAACTGCCTCTGGAAGCAACGTCAGCACAAGAACTGTCCGCCGGGAGCTTCATGAAATGGGTTTCCATGGCCGAGCAGCCGCACATAAGCCTAAGATCACCATGTGCAATGCCAAGCGTTGGCTGGACTGGTGTAAAGCTCGCCACCATTGGACTCTGGAGCAGTGGAAACGCGTTCTCTGGAGTGATGAATCACGCTTCACCATCTGGCAGTCCGACGGACGAATCTGGGTCTGACGGATGCCAGGAGAACGCTACCTGCTAGAATGCAGAGTGCCAACTATAAAGTTTGGTGGAGGAGGAATAATGGTCTGGGGCTGTTTTTCATAGTTCGGGCTAGGCCCCTTCGTTCCAGTGAAGGGAAATCTTAACACTACAGCATACAATGACATTCTAGACGATTCTGTGCTTCCAACTTTGTTGCAACAGGGAAACAATTACAGTGCCTGTAAGTGTATTTAGACATAGCCTGTTTAAAAACAAGTCGTTTTGTTTAGAATTTGATTCGAATTATTCGGTCTCTTTTAGGCCTTGTCAATTAGCAAGATTACATTCATTATTGATAACATTTGACATGTCCATAATACAATTTAGAGTAGGCCTAGCCCCAATCAGTGTGTATGCTATGTATATATATATCCACATTAAAGCCATGCTATTACTTAGAACAATGTGGAATGCAAACAGTTTCAAGTCACGACGCCAGGACAGCGGAGTCACTCACCACCTTCCGGAGACATTTGAAACCCCACCTCTTTAAGGAATACCTGGGATAGGATAAAGCAATCCTTCTACCCCCCCCACACACACAGCGGAGTCGCTCACCACCTTCCGGAGACATTTGAAACCCCACCTCTTTAAGGAATACCTGGGATAGGATAAAGTAATCCTTCTACCCCCCCCCCCCCCACCAAACAAAAAAAAAAATTAAAAAAAATTGTAAAGTGGTTATCCCACTGGCTATAGGGTGAATGCATCAATTTGTGAGACGCTCTGGTCTAGAGCGTCTGCTAAATGACGTAAATGTGCCCTTGAGCAAGGCACTTAACCCTAATTGCTCCTGTAAGTCGCTCTGGATAAGAGCGTCTGCTAAATGACTAAAATGTAAATGTAAATGTTAACATATTTAGCAAAGATGGGATAGATCTACATTTTGTTATTTTGTTTCTGTAAGATGTTACAAACTATAAAAGGACTGATATTGGAATTAGAGTTGATTCCAAGGCAATATATAAAAGACTGTAAATACACAACTTGAAGCAAACACATATTTAGCCATGGAGCACATTCTGATTGGCCAGTGAGGGGCCAAGCCTCGACACACCCAAACTTGTTTATTCATCAAAACCCAGCCCTTTCATGCCAACGCCAGCAACTGCATCGATAATTGTGGTTTTGAAAATAGCAAAATATTTCTGACATACCCCCGAACCTATAGCGCTACCGCCAGCGCTTAGATTGACCATTGTGTTAGGTTTGTAAAATAGAGCCCATAATACCTTAGAACAGCCTAACTAAACCCCATAGACTATTACCATCTTATTTCCACATAACGGCTGTTTTTTTAAATGACCTGTCAATCAACCAAATTCATTGGTAAACATTTCAAACCCTGCAAGATCATTGGTCGAGAGGGATAGACAGGCAGTGATGTGATAAACAGTGCGTTACGTTTTATAACAATCCTCCATGGATGGATCTCAAATGGCACCCTATTCCCTAGCTCTGGTCAAAAATAGCACACTATAAAGGAATAGGGTGCCATTTGGGAGGCATCCCCCAGTGTTCTGCTGTATAAACTGTGATTGGTGTCACAAAGTTCCCATGCTCTTTAAGCCAAACATCGCCACTGTGAATCTCTCTGAGTCACAACACATAAAAACACTCTCAACCCCCATTTCCTCTGTTACTTCTTTGAAGCTCTAAGAATAGAAACGGAGCGCCTTGAGGATTCGACAATTGGGGCGGTCTTAACCCTTCGAGCTGTGTTGTCGCTAAAAGTCACACAGAAATGTGAAACCGTCCCCCCAACTGCCTGTTCAGTCAGATATCTGTGAAAAGTTTGAGAAAATATTTGGAAAAGAAAGGTTAGCATCACTGACCCAGTCTGGCGACATTCCCAGAGCTTATCAAGATGCAGTGATATTGGGTATTGTAAGTCTCCTCGAATATCACATCAACTGACAGCAACTTGATTAAAACTTCATTTCCCATAAAACCTTTCTTTGATTTCCATGATGATGCGAGAGGGCAAAGATCCAACCCATACAGATTAAAATGTTTCCAAAGCTAACTAAACATCTTATCTTTGGAAGTTTAAACAACTAACTCTGTCAATAATAGAACACTTTGGGTATGGGATTTGCTAAATGGGTATGGGATTTGTAGTTTTTGTTTCCCCCTACGTACCTGCCACCTTCGCTGTGTTTCCACTCCCCAGGTACGATGTATAGAACACTAGGGACGTTTGAGGAGTTACGAAATGTGTCGTTTTTTTTTCCCTACCTGCTATAGTACCTCAATATCATAGGTATTTTTTTGGTGTTGCTGTTCTTCTTTCCATTATTAGAGGACTTCTAATATAAAGAACACTTGGACCCCAAGACTAGAGGACGGTGGGATTGTTCTGCCTACCTGCTACAGTACCTCAACAATGTTACCAGTCACAGTATAGAACACTGTGGTCCCTAGAGGACTCTGGGATTTGTAGTTGTTCTGCCTACCTGCCACCTCCACTATGTCCCCAGGTACGAGGTCCTTAGCCCGGACCCTCTGGACACTCTTCCTGTCCTGTCGGTACACCTTCCCCATCTCAGGCTCATACTCCTTCAGCGCCTCGATCGCATTCTCAGCATTACGCTCCTGTAAACACACACACGTGGATGAACACACATCATCACACACGAATAAACTTGTTTATGCATGAACACACACTTAGGAAGGAACACACACTAATGCAACATGTCAAAACACTGTGACTTCACCTGCCACACCCCGACGATAGCGTTGGCAATGAGGATGAGGAGGATGACGAAGGGTTCCACGAAGGCTGTGATGGTCCCCTCCCCTTCCTCGAACCAGGCAAGAGTCTGTCAGAAAAGAGAGAGAAGAGAGAGGTTAAAGAGGAACTTGTTTTCAAGAACCAAGAGAGAGTATGTGACAGGGATGGTAATATTGTGAGGATATAAAGAGTGAATAGGAATGCTCAGAGCAAAATATTTAAATAGCTCTAAATATGTTTGAATGGCTTTGGGTAGGCTGTGACTTAGCCATTTACTGTAAAGTTACAGTATTTACGATAGTGTTTGTTTAGGTTGTCTTTGTGTGTGTGGTTGTGTGTTCTTACGAAGGAGATGCAGGCAGCCAGCAGAAGAATCCGAACCAACAGATCCTCAAACTGTTCCAGGACCAGTTCCCATAGCGACTTCCCTGGAAACACAGAGATGGAAAGAATGTAAATGCAGGAGAGAGAGAGGGGGAGAGAGAGAGAGAAGAGGGAGATAATGAACATCTTACCTTCTTCGGCCGGTAACTCTGCATCATGGAGTTCAGAAATCCAGAGAGAGAGAGAGAGAGAGAGAGAGCGAGAGCATGGGAATGAGAGAGATTGTTATAAACATGGTAATAACATTGCTATTATCAGTCATCATCATCGTCAATATCATCATCACATTACTAAACATAGGCCTAACTTGGGTGTCATTACATATAATCATTGAAACAATTTAATACTGGTGAGAGTAAGAGTCGGGCGTTTCTGAATTTAAGGGTGAAATAGGGGTCAAGGGTTAGGAGTGAAGGGTTAGGGGCTGCGTCCTAAATGGCACCTACTCCCTACATAGTTCACTATTTTTGACCAGAGTCCTATAGGCCCAGGTCAAAAGCAGTGCACTACATAGGGAATAGTGTAATTTAGGACATGAACTAGGACCGTGACATACCGTTTGGGCCCCATCTCTCCTTGCTCTTCCTCAGCTGTTCGCAGCTCAGGCCTGTCGACTCATTCACACTGAAATACCCCAACACCTCCTCGACTGTCTTAGTATGGGCATTGTCCATCCCTGAAGGAGAGTTGGATGGAGAAAGGGAGGGGCAGAGAGATGGAGAGAGGGGGGCAGAGAGATGGAGAGAGGGGGGCAGAGAGATGGAGAGAGGGGGTGGTGGAGAGATGAGAAGAGGGAGAGATGATGGGGGGGAAGAGGATAAAAAAGAGAGCGAGTGAAGGGGGATGCACAACATCAGTAGGCCTACATAACATTGAAACTGAACTAGTGAAAATAAAATGGAGGAAAAATAACTTGACTCTCCATTCTATTCATACTCTCACTGCACTGAATGAGACATTCCCACAATATGGGGACCGACTTGATACTGTAAATTCGATAATGTTGAGACCGAAATAACCGCCTGGGGACATTACAAAACGAGCCTAGATAGATAAGCAGGTGAGCAGAGGCACCTGTTGCATGTAAATTACGTTGATTTACAGCACCTGTTCTGTTCCGTAGGGGATTCAACAAGACATGATGCAACAAACTTAGCAACCACATAATATACTAAAACCGTGAATCATCCGTTACATTGTGCTAAATGCATCTATCGATGGTTCGAAGAAGATACAATGTCAAGAATGTTCTTGAAATAATCATCTTCGAGGCATCCAACGCAGATCTCAAGCGAGTACGCAGACACAGGTCAACTGTTTATCAACCATTCTCACATTATTTTACAAATAAAATAAAAGCTATTTCGTACGTTTGTTGATATACAAAGATAAAGACTTGTTGACGAGCTTTTAAATATCTGCATTGAAGGTAAATGTCCCTTTCTAGGCCGATCCGCTGCGACGCCTTCAATATGCTAACATTTGCTAACTGGCTAAATGGCATTCTCAGAATCCGTAACTAGCAAATAATCCTGCCTTGCACGGGACGTTAACGCGCTAATAATGAAGGGAGACTTACCAGTGCAGTAAGTATCCCGGTATTCCGTTGACTAACAACTAATTCTGAAACGTTTAGTAAATAACACAATATCAAAACAAATAGGAGTAGAAAACTACAAAAAGAAAACGTTAATTCCTACGACGAATTGAGAAATCGATCTATATTAACTGCCTGGCTATTTCTCTCCCACCGAATCGCTAGCTAACGTTACGTCCTGGAAAATTATAAGGAAGGCATTGTCATAGAATAACAGTCATTTTTCTTCCGGTACAACTAAGGCTTGTTGGAGGCGTATTCCCCTACTTCTATATTTGATTACAACACCGATGTCGTGCGCTTTAATCCACCCACTATGTCTTAGCTATCTAAATAGCCGTCTATTTAATGCTAGGCCACAGAATACTATAGTGCCTCAGTCGCAGAAATCGTTGAAGCGAGGGTTAGGCCAATTAGAGACCTGGGATTTAGACTGAAATGGCTATACAGCGAATCACATTGCAGCATTTTCCATAAACCCGCCTACCGGTGCTTTGCTGCAGGAGGGCGGAACCCTAACGCTGCCCTTGGCTCAGCGCTTGACCAATGAACGTGCTGTGCGACAGTCGTCTTTCAGATGATTGACTTTGTACCACCCAATGGGTTTGGCAGGACCCTCGATTCGCGTTACCCCTGACCAATAGTAAAGTCCGTCAAACAAAAGAGGCGGGACGTGTATTTAAAGGTAAAGCAAAGCGCTCCCTCCCCCAACGCCCATCTGTCACCAGAATGCGTCTAACGGCTAATGAGTGACGTGCAATATCGGACTCTTTCTAGAGCTCCGACTCTCCGACCTGAAGATCACAGACATCATGATTTGATCTCGTATTTTTTCGAGTTCCAAGTTGTTTTGAACGCGGCATGTCTGGTCGCATATGTGGCTAAGGTCATATGTGGTCAGACATTATGTGCCCCACGCACCCTCCTCTCTGTAGCACGTCACGTTTATGGGCACCGCCCCCCACCTCTCTCTCTTTCTTGCTCTCTCTCTCTCACGCACACTGTCACACACACAACCTCCTATCTTCTCTGTAGGACTTCACATTAACATCAGTAGGCTATTGCTCGTCTGATGCAACACATTAGCCTACATCATTTTTTCTAGGCTATTACTCAAATCAAATAACATTTTATTTGTCACATGCTTCGTAAACAACAGGTATAAATACACAAGGAGTAATGATAACTATATAGCTACATATACACTGAGTATACAAAACATTAAGAACCCCTGCACTTTCCATGACAGACTGACCAGGTGAATCCAGGTGAAAGCTATGATCCCTTATTGATGTCACTTATTAAATCCACTTCAATCAGTGTAGATGAAGGGGAAGATACAGGTTAAAGAAGGATTTTTAAGCCTTGAGACAATTGAGACATGGATTGTGTATGTTTGCCATTCAGAGGGTGAATGGGCAAGACAAAAAATGTAATGTAAGTGACTTTCGAACGGGGTATGGTAGTAGGTGCCAGGCGCACCAGTTTGTGCCAAGAACTGCCACGCTGCTGGGTTTTTCATGCTCAACAGTTTCCCATGAGTATCAAGAATGGTCGACCACCCAAAGGTCATCCAGCCAACTTGACACAACTGTGGGAAGCATTGGAGACATGGGCCAGCATCCCTGTCGAACGCTTTTGACACCTTGTGGAACGCTTTTGACACACATCATTAGCAAGTAATAGCAACATCTGACTGTCCCTCTCTCGATCTCTCTCAAGCTCTCTCTCCCTCTCCCTCACTCTGGTACATATACCATTTAAATACTTTAGTTTGAAATAGGTTACCTATATAAAAATCTGTTGATGTGCCCTTGAGCAAGGCACTTAACCCTAATTGCTCCTGTAAGTCGCTCTGGATAAGAGCGTCTGCTAAATGACTAAAATGTAAAATGTAAATGTATGTCTCAAAAGTGAACCAAATGTGTGACGTAGAAAGGGTTGTTTAATAAAAGTCTGTAGTGTGTTGTGTGTGGTGTGTGGTGTGTGTGAACAAAAACAAAAACAGATACTTTGGACATTTCTTTATTTGTCTTGGTATTACTCAAACAGGTGAAGACAACGTACAAGATATTTTGACAAGCAAAACTTGACAATGCTAATTCAAAGTATACAAACATCCTATGAACTGTATGGCTTTGGAACATTTGTAATGTTCGTGTTGAAATGTTTTTGTGTTCTTGACATGTGGATGGTGTCTCACAGGCTATACCTAGAAAAAAAGGGCTATCTAAACAAAGTTTTACGACTAGACACAATGAAAACCTTTAACCTTTATGTTCAGAAACCATTTGGTTCTGTAAAACCTTTCCATGAGTTCAGGAACGAATGGTTCTATCTGGAAAAAATTTTGTGTTCCTATGGAACTGTAGCGAGACTTTTTTAATATCGTAAGAAAATGTGTGTCTTTGAGGACTGTAAGGGTTCTGTGCGTGACCCATGGAAACTTTGAAGAACCTTTTGGTTTCGATGACTTTGGTTCCATGTAAACCCTTCAAGGGGTTACATTGGACCCAAAGGTTCTACCTGACCTCAAAGATGATCCTATGGAAAGAGAGACCTTGGAACTTAGAATGACTGATTGTGTGGTTGGGTTGGGTGGGTTCATTGCGTGTGTGTGTACTATTTGTTCATAGTACCAGTGTGTGTAGTCTGGGTCTGTGTCTGCGCTGAGCAGCATATCTCTGATCTCCTGAGGGGGGTTTAACCCATGCTGTGCAGCTCTCTCCCACCGCTGCAAACGACTGATACCTGATAAGAGAGAGTGTGAGTAGAGAGGGAGTAGGAATGCTACTGTAGATCATATAACACTATGAGATACAGGAAGGAAAACAATTGGATTGGATTAAAACAATTCACAAAGCAATACGTAACAGAGAGAGGAAAACAAAAAAATTACAAGATAAAAGGACCGTGCAAAGATTAAACATTGGCGCGCCACTGTGCTGCATATTGTTATTATGAATAACTGTATTAAAAATATGTTGTCAGATAGTTAACACGGTTGCTGCAGGGTACCTGTGCAGGGTCCATACCGCCAGTCCAGGTCAAACTGTCTCAGCTCCTGCAGCTCTTTATCTCTGGCCGTGAGGGGGCGCGGTCAGCGTCTGATTGGACGACAGACAGGAAGCGAAGTTAGAGTGACACCACATGACCAATCACATACAGCTGGGGAAATAGTGCTCTATTGACAAGTTGAGTTGCATCACCTGAATCACTAATTTCCTCTACAGAGACCAATACAACTATTCTAGTGTTTATTCATTATCTCAATAAAATCATTTGGGTGTCATTTGAAAACAGTAGTTCAATTTCATACTCTATTACAATGTCCATCTGTCTTGTATGACTGCTGTGTGGTTTGCTGGACAACACACAACAGTCTAACCCTTTTGGGGAGGCGATGGGGCCCTCTTCTCTCTTCTCCTCTCTCGACCGCACCGTAGTTTGTGCGTGACTTGGGCTGGCGACGCACACCATGTTTGGTGCGGGGCAGGACAGGGCAGGCACGCACACCGTAGCTTGGTGCGGACGGGGCGGCTGTCGACGCACACACGTAGACTTGGTGCGTGGAGCAGGAACAGGTCGGGCAGGGCTGTCGACGCACACCGTAGACTTGGCGCGGGTAGCAGGAACGGGCCGGACTGGGCTGTCGACGCACACCGCAGACTTGGTGCGTTGGAGCAGGAACAGGTCGGGCAGGGCTGTCGACGCACACCGTAGACTTGGTGCGGGGAGCATGAACGGGCCGGACTGGGCTGTCGACGCACACCGTAGACTTGGTGCGTGGAAGCAGGAACAGGTTCCGGGCATGGCTGGTCGACTCACACCGTAGACTTGGTGCGGGGAGCAGGAACGGGCCGGACTGGGCTGTCGACGCACACCGTAGACTTGGTGCGTGGAGCAGGAACAGGTCGGGCAGGGCTGTCGACGCACACCGTAGACTTGGTGCGGGGAGCAGGACTGGGCCGGACCGGGCTGAGGAGACGGATAGGAGACCTGGAGTGAAGAGCTGCCACAACCCGTCCTGGCTGAATACCTACCTTCACACACTCTGTGTGAGGCATCAGCACAGGACGTACAGGGCTGTGTACCCGTACTGGCATAACAGCACGCGACACTGGCGCAGGATATCCGGGACCGAGGAGAGGCACTGGAGGCCGCGAGCGCTGATCCGGCACACTCCGTCCTGGCTGCATGCCCACCTTCGCACAACACGTGCGGGGTGCTCGCACAGGACGTACAGGACTGTGCCGGACCACTCGTGGCACAGTACGCAGCTCCGCATACCTCGGAACCTGCCCAGTCTCATGCTGCCATGCCTGAGTACGGGGAGTTGGCTCTGCTCTCCATCCAGGCTCCGCCAACCTGCCTTCTGGCCCCCAAAACCCGGTGGCCTCCTCTCCAAATTGCCCTGTGGCAGCCTCCTGCTGCCCAGCCGCCCAAGCCATGTGCCCCCCCCAAAAAATTTATTGGGGTTGCCTCTCGTCCTTCCGACGATGGCCCTGCTGCCGCCGTTGCTCCTCTCTCGCCAGGGCCTTGATCCTCCCCCAAGGTCCCTTGCCCCCGAGCATGTCCTCCCAGGACCACGATTTGCCCACCTGGGCCATCGCCAGCCTCTCGATCTCCTTACCCGGCGCTTCCTCCCATGTCCAATCACCTTGCTCCTGGACACGCTGCTTGGTCCTTTTGTGGTGGGTTTTTCTGTCACGATCGTCGTAGGAGTGAGTAGACCAAGGCGCAGCGTGTGAAAGAAACATTACTTTATTTAATTAAAGCATGCAAAACAAAACACGACTCGTGAAGTCCAACGGTTAACAATACCGACACGGAACAAAAACCCACAACCCCAAGGTGAAAACACACAGTATAAATATGGCTCCCAATCAGAGATAACGAGCCGACAGCTGACACTCGTTACCTCCGATTGGGAGTCACTCAATACAAACATACAACAACCTAGAAATAGACACAACAGAACTACCAACATTGAAATAAACACATAGAATGCACACACCCTGGCTCAACATAATGAGTGCCAGAACCAGGGTGTGACATCCAGATAGAACCATTTTGGTTTCCATGTAAAACCCTTTCCACAGAGGGTTCTATATGGAACCCAAAAGAGTTCTACCTGGAACCCAAAATGATTATCCTATGGAAACAGCCGAAGAACCCTTTTGGAACCCTTTTTTCTAAGAATGTACATGCATTTGTGTGTGTGTGTGTGTGTGCGCATCTGCTTGTGCGTTGTGTGTGTACTATTTTGTTGATAGTACCAGTGTGTGTAGTCTGGGTCTGTGTCTGCGCTGAGCAGCATATCTCTGATCTCCTGAGGGGGGTTTAACCCATGCTGTGCAGCTCTCTCCCACCGCTGCAAACGACTGATACCTGATAGAGAGAGAGAGTGTGAGTAGAGAGGGAGTAGGAATGCTACTGTAGATCATATAACACTATGAGATACAGGAAGGAAAACAATTGGATTGGATTAAAACAATTCACAAAGCAATACGTAACAGGAGAGGAAAAAAATTACAAGATAAAAGGACCGTGCAAAGATTAAACATTGGCGCGCCACTGTGCTGCATATTGTTATTATGAATAACTGTATTAAAAATATGTTGTCAGATAGTTAACACCGGTTGCTGCAGGGTACCTGTGCAGGGTCCATACCGCCAGTCCAGGTCAAACTGTCTCAGCTCCTGCAGCTCTTTATCTCTGGCCGTGAGGGGGCGCGGCTCAGCGTCTGATTGGACGACAGACAGGAAGCGACGTTAGAGTGACACCACCATGACCAATCACATACAGCTGGGGAAATAGTGCTCTATTGACAAGTTGAGTTGCATCACTGAATCACTCATTTCCTCTACAGAGACCAATACAACTATTCTAGTGTTCTATTCATTATCTCAATAAAATGATTTGGGTGTCATTTGAAAACAGTAGTTCAATTTCATACTCTATTACAATGTTCCATCTGTCTTGTATGACTGCTGTGTGGTTTGCTGGACACACACACACACATGTCTAACCCTTTTGGGGAGGCGATGGGGCCCTCTTCTCTCTCTTCTCCTCTCTCCTGGATCTCTTCACCACCTTGTATGAGTCGGTGATCAGACCTGCACGTTTGGCCGTCATGGTTGACCTGGCAGACAGACAGACAGACAGACAGACAGACAGACAGACGTACAGACGTACAGACAGACAGACAGACAGAGAGCGTGTGTTTTCTACTGATATTGATGAGTAGGCAGTGTTTCTGTTTCAATAGTAACATTATTGTTTCCTTTAAACCAATATTGCAGTATAGTTTGCGGGTTGAAGTTTGTGAACAGTACACACACGGCAGAATTACATTTTGACACAGCGACTGAACGCCCCACCCCCAACCTCAGTTCCTGTACAAACGGATTGAAGTCCGTAATGCAAACATTAGCTGCATAACTGGCAATTTAGGCGATATTTCGCCACCAATGCAAAGTATTTTGTATGCATTACTATCATATGAACTATTCTGCGCGTTTTCATAGGTTTCTTGCACTTGTGCAATTCATTGTGTGCAAAAACGTTTTATCAGACCCTTGATATAGTTTTATAACATACCTGATCACAATTGTGTTCGTTGTCTTTCCACTTCGGTTTTTGCCTGATGATCAATTTGTATGTTATCATGAACCAATCAATCGAAACGCAACAAACCCAGACCAACAGAAGAAAAAAACGTCAAACGTAAAACATTACCTTGGTTACGTCACTTTCGACGCACACGACGCAAAGACTTGACTTTCTCCCAACGCACATTACAAGTTGACAGCTAAAACACAACGGTTAGTAATGTAAACAAGACGTTATTCCACAGATCAACTATAATCGGTAAACAATAACAGTAATGGCACCATTATAGCAAGCTGTAATATATTGCATAAGAGTTTTTACATGTCATAAGGGTTATTTACATGTCTCAGTCCCAATTTCCTTGACAGCTGAAAGCTACACATAACAAGCAAGTTTGGTTGGTTGTTATAATCTTCATGCAGTTCATACAGGTTTCCATATAAATCATTTGAATTTATGCATTTTGCATCTGGTCTGCTTAGTAAGATTTAGTCCACTTCCTGCACATAAAATGTAATGTAAATTTTTACTAATTTATATATAGAATTAGAAAGAGTTAGAATAAGAATTATATTTATATGAGTTTGTAGTTAGTTTATACTATACACAGTACAGTACAGTAGATACGGTAGTAATATTATATGTGCCATTTAGCAGACGCTTTTATTCAAAGCAACTTACAGTTACGTGCCTACACTTTATTTTTGGGTGGTCCCTTTAATCGTACCCACTATCCTGGCATTGCAAGCCCCATGCTTTACCAATTGAGCTAGAGGACCAATATAATGAAGGCAGACGGTTGTCCTTTCTCTGTGTGTGGTATTAGAGGTAGAGTGGCTCCTGAGGACCAGAGGAACAGCTGCCATGGTCGACACACTGGAGTTCAGTGACATTTACCAGGAGGTCAAAGGGTCATGGGTAAGTGTGTGCGTGCGTGCGTGTGTATGTGTGTGAATGCGTGTGTTTGTGTGTGTGTGTGTGTGTGTGTGTGTGTTTGTGTGTTCTAAATGTGTGTGTGTGTCTATGTATACTTCAGGTGTTTCTATACTGTATATGTATGTCAACAATATATACACTACCAGTCAAAAGTTTGGACACACCTAATCATTCAAGGGTTTTTCTTAATTTTTACATTTTTTTACATTGTAGAATAATAGTGAAGACATCAAAACTATGAAATAACACATATGTAATCATATAGTAACCAAACATGTGTTAAACAAATCAAAATATATTTTATATTTGAGATTCTTCAAATAGCCACCATTTGCCTTGATGACAGCTTGATGTCTTCACTATTATTCTACAATGTAAAAAAATAAAGAAACACCCTTGAATGAGTAGGTCCAAACTTTTGACTGGTACTGTATGTACTGTGTTTCCCCAGAACGACGGGCGTCTGCGGTTCGGTAGACAGAGTGTGGTGTATAAGAGCACTAAGACAGGGAGGGTGGACAGCATCCCAGCTGCGGAGTTGTCTCAGGCCCAGTGGAGACGTGTGTGTCTGGGACAGGGCATCAAGCTGACCACCAGCACCGGACACATCTACAAATATGACGGCTTCAGAGACACGGTGACGAGGGATGGGGGGAAGAGAGAGGAATGAGGGGAGGAGGGTAAAGGAGAGGTGAGGGTAGAGGAGAGGTGAAGAGAGGAGAGGAAAGGGGTGGAGGAGATGAAAAAAGGAGGGAGGGAGGGAGGGAGGGAGGAGAGGAGAGGGAGGGAGGGAGGGAGGAGACAGGAGGGAGGGAGGGAGATATCGTTGAGGGGAGACAGAGAGATGGAGGGAAGGAGAGAAGGATGAAGGGGAGGGAGGAATGGATGATGGAAGAAAGAAAGAAGGAGAAAAGGGAGGAAAGAGATGGAAAGGTCGAAAGAGGAAAGAATGGGAATGAAAACAGAGTAAAGAGTGAGTTTGGAGTAGGAACGAGATCAGAGAGGAGTATAGAATAGAACCATTTGAAACAGGAAAGTCAGCATGGAAAATAAACATTGTCTTCTCTCTCTCTCTCCACCCCACTCCTCCCTCCACTCTCTCTCCAGGACTTTGAGAAGATCTCTGAGTACTTCAAAGCCCACTACAAAGTGGAGCTGTCAGAGAAGGAGTTATGTGTGAAGGGTTGGAACTGGGGCACCGCCAAATTCTCTGGTGAGGACAACACTACCACCATATTCAAGTTGTCGGAGGCCATTTTGGTTGTAACATTTTGGCTCCAAAACAGTCTATTTTCTGTTCCCAGGCCCTCTCCTGTCATTCGAGGTGAGCGACAGCCCAGTGTTTGAGATCCCCCTGGCCAGCGTGTCCCAGTGCGCCACGGGGAAGAATGAGGTGACGCTGGAGTTCCACCAGAACGACGAGGCAGAGGTGTCGCTCATGGAGGTCCGATTCTACGTCCCACCCGGGGACGCCGCCACCACGGAAGAGGGGCCAGAACCCGTGGAGGTGGGGGGCTGTGTTTGTGTGTTTGTGTCACTGAAATATTCTTTAAGTTTTAATGTATTTTTTTTGCAGCAAAGGTCAGAACAAACGGACGGCAGCATTCGACATATTAGTCCCATATTCATATTCAGAAAACTTTAATGTCCTCAAGAGGCAATTCATTTTGTAGCAGTCAAGAACATATAGACAAGATCACAATGCACAGTTGAAGTTGGAAGTTTACATATACCTTAGCCAAATACATTTAAACTCAGTTTTTCACAATTCCTGACATTTAATCCTAGTAAAAATTCCCTGTCTTAGGTCAGTTAGGATCACCACTTTATTTTAAGAATGTGAAATGTCAGAATAATAGTAGAGAATGATTTATTTCAGCTTTTCTATATTTCATCACATTCCCAGTGTGTCAGAAGTTTACATACACTCAATTAGTATTTGGGAGCATTGCCTTTAAATTGTTTAACTTGGGTCAAATGTTTCGGGTAGCCTTCCACAAGCTTCCCACAATACGTTGGGTGAATTTTGGCCCATTCCTCCTGACAGAGCTGCTGTAACTGAGTCAGGTTTGTAGGCCTCCTTGCTCGCACATGCTTTTTCAGTGATGCCCACAAATGTTCTATAGGATTGAGGTCAGGGCTTTGTGATGGCCACTCCAATATTTTGACTTTGTTGTCCTTAAGCCATTTTGCCACAACTTTGGAAGTATGCTTGGGGTCATTGTCCATTTGGAAGACCCATTTGCGACCAAGCTTTAACTTCCTGACTGATGTCTTGAGATGTTGCAGCAAAGCACCCCCACGGCATGATGCTGCCACCCCCGTGCTTCACGGTTGGGATGGTGTTCTTCGGCTTGCAAGCATGTCCCTTTTTCCTCCAAACATAACGATGGTCATTATGGCCAAACAGTTCTATTTTTGTTTCATCGGACTAAAGGACATTTCTCCAAAAAGTAAGATCTTTGTACCCATGTGCAGTTGCAAACCATAGTCTGGCTTTTTTATAGCGGTTTTGGAGCAGTGGCTTCTTCCTTGCTGAGCGACCTTTCAGATTATGTCGATATAGGACTCGTTTTACTGTGGATATAGATACTTTTGTACCTGTTTCCTCCAGCATCTTCACAAGATCCTTTGCTGTTGTTCTGGGATTGATTTGCACTTTTCGCACCAAAGTACGTTCATCTCTAGGAGACAGTGCGCATCTCCTTCCTGAGCGGTATGACGGCTGCGTGGTCCCATGGTGTTTATACTTGCATACTATTGTTTGTATAGATGAACGTGGTACCTTCAGGCATTTGGAAATTGCTCCGAAGGATGAAACAGACTTGTGGAGGTCTACCATTTTTTTTCTGAGGTCTTGGCTGATTTCTTTTGATTTTCCCATGATGTCAAGCAAAGAGGCACTGAGTTTGAAGGTAGGCCTTGAAATACATCCACAGGTACACCTCCAATTGACTCAAATGATGTCAATTAGCCTATCAGAAGCTTCTAAAGCCATGACTTCATTTTCTGGAATTTTCCAATCTGTTTAAAGGCACAGTCAACTTAGTGTATGTAAACTTCTGAACCACTGGAATTGTGATACAGTGAATTATAATTGAAATAATCTGTCTGTAAACAATTGTTGAAAAAATTACTTGTGTCATGCACAAAGTAGATGTCCTAACTGACAAAACTATAGTTTGTTAACAAGAAATTTGTGGAATGGTTGAAAAACAAGTTTTAATGACTCCAACCTAAGTGTATGTAAACTTCCGACTTCAAATATATATATATATATATATATATATATATATATATATATATATATATATATATATATATATATACAGTGGGGGGGAAAAAGTATTTAGTCAGCCACCAATTGTGCAAGTTCTCCCACTTAAAAAGATGAGAGAGGCCTGTAATTTTCATCATAGGTACACGTCAACTATGACAGACAAAATGAGAAAAAAAATCCAGAAAATCACATTGTAGGATTTTTAATGAATTTATTTGCAAATTATGGTGGAAAATAAGTATTTGGTCACCTACAAACAAGCAAGATTTCTGGCTCTCACAGACCTGTAACTTCTTCTTTAAGAGGCTCCTCTG